GGAATGTGTCTAGTGGGGGGAGTCAGGAGCCATCAGCCTCTATTAGAAGCTCTGTGTTCCTTTCACATTTCCATTACAGTAGAATGGGGAATGTCAGCTTATAGCTTATTCTTACAATATTATAAATATTTGTGAGCTGCCACATTGTAATGTATACGTTGACTGTATTTCAGGTATTTCAGGGGGGGGTGGACAAACACTCTAAGACCCTACACCCACAGTTGGTAGTGTATCCATAGTCCTCCTGGATCGACACCTTTTACTCATAGTCCTCCTGGAGCAGCACCTCATACTCATAGTCCTCTTGGAGCGGCACCTCATACTCACAGTCCTCCTGGATCGACACCTTTTACTCATAGTCCTCCTGGAGCGGCACCTCATACTCATAGTCCTCTTGGAGCGGCACCTCTTACTCATAGTCCACATTCTCCGGCTCCTAGAGCCAGGAGAAGAAGCTGGAGAAGCAGATTGCTGCTTCATCAGCTTCTTTGGGGTCCCTAGGTAACATTAGGGGTCTGTCAGCCCCCTGAAGTCTCCATAAAGAGGACCTGTCACTTATTTTCTATTACATGGGGGCTTGTTAGCGGTTTCACGGGCGCACGCCATTTTAAGGCTTGACATGTTTGGTATCTATGTACCCGGCGTGACCCCGTCTCTCATATTTTACCAAAAAAATTGGGGATTATATTCTGTTTCTGTGCACTGAATTTTAATTTTGTTTATTGTATCCTAAAAATAGCGGTTTGATAAACATTTGCGCAAATACCGCATGACATAAACAATTGCAACTGGCATCTTTTTATTCTACAGGGCCTCTGATTTCAGAACGTATATCATTGTTTAGGGGTCTGAAGCTGTTTATCATGTGTGTACTCCGGACAGGAAGTGGTTATTGAAGGTTGGTTTAACCTCTTCTGTCCCCTCCAGGTGGACGGTATGTGGAGAGTAACACAGAGGATCGTCTTGTTATATATCCAGATTGTGAGATAGAAGATGAGGAGGACATCACACTCCATCCTACCAAAGGAAACCCCATGACCTCCCGTCCTCTGTATTCCCGGGATTCCACACAGGAACATCAGGAGATCCCTCAGGCCCATCCTCTGTATTCCCGGGATTCCCCACAGAAACATCAGGAGATCCCTCAGACCCGTCCTCTGTATTCCCGGGACTCCACACAGGAACATCATGAGATCCCTCAGACCCGTCCTCTGTATTCCCGGGATTCCACACAGGAACATCAGGAGATCCCTCAGACCCGTCCTCTGTATTCCCGGGACTCCACACAGGAACATCATGAGATCCCTCAGACCCGTCCTCTGTATTCCCGGGATTCCACACAGGAACATCAGGAGGTCCCTCAGACCCGTCCTCTGCATTCCCGGGACTCCACACAGGCACATCAGGAGATCATAACTTTGTGACTATTACAAAACAAAGATTGCTCTTATATAATTATTGTGAGGTAATTGAATAAGAGAACATTTAAAATATTTGTATTGCTTTCTGGGTTACGTAGGAGGAAAACAATATTCTCTCTGGAACAGAAACTAGAGATGATCTAGAAGAACCCTATGTGATGGGTGATGAGTCGTGTAAGGAGGAGAAAATCACTTCAGAGATCAGCACAGGTGAGGAATAAACACTAAACCCAGAAAAGAGTAATGGGGGGATGGAAGGTGTCTAGTGGGGGGAGTCAGGAGCCATCAGTCTCTATTAGACTCCGCCTCTCCTCCTCACATCATGTCATTGTGTGTTACCAGCCAAGAGACGTGACCAGTCTCCACCCCCCCACACACACTCTCTGGGGTCTCTCATACATCTCAGTACAGGGTCTCCTCCACACACACTCTCTCTGGGGTCTCTCATACATCTCAGTACAGGGGGCTTCACTCTCATCTCTATTCACAGACCCCGAAGACACTCAGAATGACGTTGAATATGAGGAGGACGTTAACCTTGTGAAGATTAAAGAGGAGGACATTCCTCCAGAGATTGGTACAAGTGAGTAAAAAACACTAAATCCAGAAATGAGTCCCAGATTCTCCTTGTTCAGTCACTACAACAATCTCTTCTTCTCCCCCCCCCCCCCCCCCCC